CACTCTAGATGGTGTGTCTATGTCGGTGTGCGACCCATACAAAATAGCATTTACACTCTAGTTGGTGTGTCTATGTCGGTGTACGACCAATACAAAATAGCAGTTACACTCTAGTTGGTGTGTCTATGTCAGTGTACGACCCATACAAAATAGCAGTTACACTCTAGTTGGTGTGTCTATGTCGGTGTACGGCCAATACAAAATAGCAGTTACACCCTAGTTGGTGTGTCTATGTCGGTGTACGACCCATACAAAATAGCAGTTACACTCTAGTTGGTGTGTCTATGTCGGTGTACGACCCATACAAAATAACAGTAACACTCTAGTTGGTGTGTCTATGTCGGTGTACGACCCATACAAAATAGCAGTTACACTCTAGTTGATGTGTCTATGTCGGTGTACGACCCATACAAAATAGCAGTTACACTCTAGTTGATGTGTCTATGTCGGTGTACGACCCATACAAAATAGAGGTACCACTCTAGATGATGTGTCTATGTCGGTGTGCGACCAATACAAAATAGCAGTTACACTCTAGGTGATGTGTCTATGTCGGTGTACGACCCATACAAAATAGCAGTTACACTCTAGTTGGTGTGTCTATGTCGGTGTACGACCAATACAAAATAGCAGTAACACTCTAGTTGGTGTGTCTATGTCGGTGTACGACCCATACAAAATAGCAGTTACACCCTAGTTGGTGTGTCTATGTCGGTGTACGACCCATACAAAATAGCAGTTACACTCTAGTTGGTGTGTTTATGTCGGTGTACGACCCATACAAAATAGCAGTAACACTCTAGTTGGTGTGTCTATGTCAGTGTACGACCCATACAAAATAGCAGTTACACTCTAGTTGGTGTGTCTATGTCGGTGTACGACCCATACAAAATAGCAGTAACACCCTAGTTGGTGTGTCTATGTCGGTGTACGACCCATACAAAATAGCAGTTACACTCTAGTTGGTGTGTCTATGTCAGTGTACGATCAATTCAAAAGAGAGGTACCACTCTAGATGATGTGTCTATGTCGGTGTGCGACCCATACAAAATAGCAGTTACACTCTAGTTGGTGTGTCTATGTCGGTGTACGACCAATACAAAATAGCAGTTACACTCTAGGTGATGTGTCTATGTCGGTGTACGACCAATACAAAATAGCAGTTACACTCTAGTTGGTGTGTCTATGTCGGTGTACGACCAATACAAAATAGCAGTTACACTCTAGTTGGTGTGTCTATGTCGGTGTACGACCCATACAAAATAGCAGTTACACTCTAGTTGGTGTGTCTATGTCAGTGTACGCTCAATACAAAAGAGAGGTACCACTCTAGATGGTGTGTCTATGTCGGTGTGCGACCCATACAAAATTGCAGTTACACTCTAGATGATGTGTCTATGTCGGTGTACGACCAATACAAAATAGCAGTTACACTCTAGTTGGTGTGTCTATGTCGGTGTACGACCATTACAAAATAGCAGTTACACTCTAGATGATGTGTCTATGTCGGTGTACGACCATTACAAAATAGCAGTTACACTCTAGTTGGTGTGTCTATGTCGGTGTACGACCCATACAAAATAGCAGTTACACTCTAGTTGGTGTGTCTATGTCGGTGTACGACCCATACAAAATAGCAGTTACACTCTAGTTGGTGTGTCTATGTCGGTGTACGACCCATACAAAATAGCAGTTACACTCTAGTTGGTGTGTCTATGTCGGTGTACGACCCATACAAAATAGCAGTTACACTCTAGTTGGTGTGTCTATGTCGGTGTACGACCCATACAAAATAGCAGTTACACTCTAGTTGGTGTGTCTATGTCGGTGTACGACCGTAATAAAATAGCAGTTACACTCTAGATGATGTGTCTATGTCGGTGTACGACCCATACAAAATAGCAGTAACACCCTAGTTGGTGTGTCTATGTCGGTGTATGACCAATACAAAATAGCAGTTACACTCTAGGTGATGTGTCTATGTCGGTGTATGACCAATACAAAATAGCAGTAACACTCTAGATGATGTGTCTATGTCGGTGTACGACCAATACAATATAACAGCTTCATCGTCGTGTATTTGAGTCTATGTACGACCATTGACCACAGCGACAGAGCTGGAATATTGCTGACTGCGGCCAATATTAATCATTAACTCAAACACACATTGCTGCCTTTTTGTCCTCAATTCGACAAAGATCATTTTCAGACGCCTCGACCACTGGAAACAATTAATTTTTAAGTGAAGAACAAAGGCGGAGCCCGTTCATATATGTTTTGCATTTTGTCACTGAAGATTGCATTTTGTCACTGAAGATTGCATTTTGTCACTGAAGATTGCATTTTGTCACTGAAGATCGCATTTTGTCACTGAAGATCGCATTTTGTCACTGAAGATCGCATTTTGTCACTGAAGATCGCATTTTGTCACTGAAGATCGCATTTTGTCACTGAAGATCGCATTTTGTCACTGAAGATCGCATTTTGTCACTGAAGATTGCATTTTGTCACTGAAGATTGCATTTTGTCACTGAAGATCGCATTTTGTCACTGAAGATCGCATTTTGTCACTGAAGATCGCATTTTGTCACTGAAGATTGCATTTTGTCACTGAAGATTGCATTTTGTCACTGAAGATCACATTTTGTCACTGAAGATCGCATTTTGTCACTGAAGATTGCATTTTGTCACTGAAGATCACATTTTGTCACTGAAGATCACATTTTGTCACTGAAGATTGCATTTTGTCACTGAAGATCACATTTTGTCACTGAAGATCACATTTTGTCACTGAAGATCACATTTTGTCACTGAAGATCGCATTTTGTCACTGAAGATTGCATTTTTGCACTTAAGATCACATTTTGTCACTGAAGATCGCATTTTTGCACTTAAGATCACATTTTGTCACTGAAGATCGCATTTTGTCACTGAAGATTGCATTTTTGCACTTAAGATCACATTTTGTCACTGAAGATTGCATTTTTGCACTTAAGATCACATTTTGTCACTGAAGATCGCATTTTTGCACTAAAGATTGCATTTTTGCACTGAAGATCTCATTTTGTCACTGAAGATCGCATTTTGTCACTGAAGATTGCATTTTTTAACGCAAGCAGCACATATGTGCCTTGAAGCCATACTACTTTACAACAACCGAAACAAATACAGGTTGATAGCCAAAGGAATAATACTGTTCACACTTACGCTCTTGCACGTCCTGTCAGAAACACGATGTTGATTGCAGAATTGCCGTGTATTTAACACAGTCTGTGTGCTAATTTTAATACTTAGTTAAGATAACCTGTTGGCTCCGTTAACATGTTTAACTTTATAAATAGATCGCAACACACCTTTCTATATATGCTTTACTTTTGCTTCTTCTTGGAAGTTTCTCCAGTTTGTTTAATAGCTTGTGGAAAGTGTGAGTTAGTGAGAGAGTGAGTTGGGTTTAACGCCGCTTTTAACAGTATTCCAGTTATATCACGGCGTTTCAGCTTAATATGGGAGGAAAGCCCGAACTGATGCAGGTCTCAGACGTTTACCACTTTGGTGAAACCCACGAGCACGGGTATGGTGCTGACAAACCTAGAAACATAATCTGGGCGAACCGGGATTCGAACCCTCAATCATAGGTTTCTGGCGTGCCCAAGGGACACAACTCTTGTGGAATGTGATACTTTACAGATTAAACCACTGGGATGTCAGATGACTAGGCTCGAACCAGACGGAAAACCGGTGGTTGATAGCATGAGCAGAACCCCACGCGTAGGCGTCATTTTCCGTTATATCACGAAGTGTCAGCTGTTATAGGACAAATACTATCCGTGCTCCGTTTGGCCAGGATATACACCGACTGAAATCCGTCATTCATTTAGCAGACAATGTAGAAAATATTATATATAACATATATTTATATATTATTTGAATATATTATTTATAGCCAATCAGATCGCGACCGTTTTGTCAACGGGGTATGTCAATGCCAAAGTTTTCTATTTCCAGTGAACATTGTTGAAATTGTGCCCGAACGAACTTGGTGAATTGACCTCGTCACATCCCTTTCCTTTTATAAAGTACTGACGCTGGTTGGTACCTAACAGCTTGTAGCTGAATTCTCTAGTTACCAACCCCTCTGGTCAACACAAAGCTGTGTAGTATGGTCTTATAAAAGGTCTTATCCCAAGACCCGTGAAGATCCGGAGTAGAATTGGTCTTCAGCAACCCATTCCTGTGGTAAAAGGCGACTATGCTTGTCGTGTGATGCGACTAACGGGATCGGGTTGTCAGGCTCGCTGACTTGGTTGATGCATGTCATTGATCCCAATTGTGTGGATCGATGCTCATGATATTCATCACTGGATTGTCTGGTCCAGACTCAATTATTTACAGACCGCCGTCATATAGCTGGAATATTGCTGAGTACGGCGTTAAACAACAAGCACGAGGGAACGCTGTAACCACTGGACTACCCCACCGTACCTGTGGCTATCATTTGGAATGCTGATGATCAAAATGATGAAGAAGAAGAGTGTGAGTGAGTGAGTTGGGTTTAACGCCGCTTTTAATAGTATTCCAGTTATATCATGGCGTGTCATGTGAGAGGAAAGCCCGAAGTGATGCAGGTCTCAGACGTTGACCACTTCGGTGAAACCCACGAGCACGGGTATGGTGCTGACAAACCTAGAAGCATAATCGGGGCGAACCGGGATTCGAACCCACAATCATAGGTTTCTGGCGTGCCCAAGGGACGCAACTCTGCACAGCGAATCGCGGCGCCTAAGACGACTGGGCCACCCGTGCCCCCAAGAAGAAGAAGATGATGATGAAATTGACGTGATCACTGCTTAACATTTGGCTACTATATCAAGTACTCTGACGTCATGTGTACAAATACAGGTATCAAATGTACGTTCGACACCTCTAAATGTATCAACTGTCATGGGGATAGATCTTACGACATAGGACATGGGGATGTCATAACGAAATATTCCTGAAAACTAGATTAAACATTTATTCCATTATTCACGTCTCAGCCAAAGAATGGCTTCCCTTGGTGGAGGTGGTGGAGGTGGTGGTTGTTCCCGTGTTGGTGGGCCTGGCCAGCGGCATGATGGGCGTTGCTAGGAAACAAGCGTTGATTCCCGGCATATTGGTAAGCCTAAACAAACACAAATAATATTGCATCTAAAAATATACCCATACACAGTTAGACGTGTTCAGTCATACTGTATAAATACCGTAAGTCCCAATGTGTTTTAAATAGCATCTGGAATATATATGACTTGGGGGAAATATAGGTGAATCATTACGCAACGAGTTTGCGCTCAGACGGAACCCAGTCGCAGAAATGGCCACGAGAAGGGCACGAGTCGCTATTCGGCTTTTCCCGGAATAACACGAGTTGGTCACGATTGGCAAACAGCCAAGTCACACAGCCTGACCAACCGATCCCATTTTAGACGGGCCAATTTATATGATCTGCTCCACCAGGCCATCATGTTATAGCTCAAAACTGATACAATGAATATACTATACTTACAAGATCCATGTAGGAATCAAATTCAGTCCTGTTAAGAGCCCCGTCGCCTACAATTGAGAATAGAACCACGTATAAGAATTGTATCCATTTGTAACCGCACAAGGAACAACGAACAAAGAAAATGTTAAAGCAACTAAAATATTATATAAAATGTCATACCTGGCTGTCAGAATATGAAACGTCAACACCAGAAAATAACCAGTCTCGATTATCCGACGAAAAGGAAATGCAACATATAGGTGAAAATTATATGAATGGATCACTGAAAATCAGTGATGACACCAGGTGTTCGCGAAAAGGGTAAGCATGTCCTACTCTACCGGTAGCACCCTCCACTCACACAATTTGAGTGTTGAGTGAGTGTTATGGTTTTACGCCACTTTACGCAATATTCCAGCAACACACGGCACCAGAAATGGGCTTCACACATTGTACCCATGTCGGGAATCGAACCCGGGTCTTCGGCGTGCCGAGCGAACGCTTTAACCACTAGGCTCCCCGACCGACCTCACACAATTTGAATTAAAAAGTATGTATTTGTTGCCTGACACCACACAGCAGTATTCCTGATCTGATCTGATCGGTGGAGGAATTCAGATGTGGGATGCTATTAATCGAATCGAGAATAGACAATCCAGTGATCGATATCGTGAGCTGCGATCCACGACATCTGGGTACGATGACACGCAATCAACCAATTCACCGAGCCTGACAACCCGATCTATCAAGAATAGGTTGCTGGTTGGGGGCAATTCTACAGCCTGAGTGAGTGAGTGAGTTGGGTTTAACGCCACTTTTAACATTTTCAGTAATATCACGGCGTGTCAGCTTAATGTTGGAGGAAAGTCCAAAGTGATGCAGGTCTCAGACGTTTACCACTTCGGTGAAACCCACGAGCACGGGTATGGTGCTGACAAACCTAGAAACATAATCGGGGCGAACCGGGATTCGAACCCACAATCATAGGTTTCTGGCGTGTCCAAGGGACGCAACTCTGCACAGCGAATCGCGGTGCCTAGGACGACTGGTGGACCCGTGCCCCCAAATTCTACAGCGGCATAATCTTACCATCCCTGTCACCAATGTTCATCAGAGGAAGTAGATCATTCCCATCGAAGATTTCATCCTTTTGGCCGTCGAAGAAGGAGAAGAGGCCGTCTGCTATCCTCTCCGTCTCAGTATATGCCTCTCTCCAGAAGAACTTGAAGTCTACCCGGGTCGTAACAGTGGGATCTTCGGGAGCAGGTGCTGAAATTATGAATGAGTGAGTTGAGTTTTACGCCGCTTGTATCAACATTTCAGCAAGATATCACGGCGGAGGACACCAGAAATGGCCTTCATACATTGTACCCATGTCGAACCTGGGTCTTTGGCGTGACGAGCGAATACTCGAACCTGCCGCCTCGGTTCTGAAATAAACAATAATTATTGCATAGATCAACTTCTGTTCGACGTATAGTAGCTATTTGTTTTCAGACGAGTCACCACATTCTTTGAATTTGTTATGAAATTTGTTTGTAAGTACGCTTGAGCAACGGACAGAGTGGAACACCAAAGATTCATGACGCAAGATGGCACGGTAGACATGAATGAGGACCACATTTCTAATGACTGTCTACTTGGTTCAAGGGAGGCTACTCTCGTAGCTTCACGAAGGTTGGAGGTACCGAAGCGATGAATGTGATGCTGCTGCACTGAATGTTTGGGCGACAGAGGTTTCAAATGTTTTGGTGACAGAGGTTTCAAATGTTTGGGTGACAGAGGTTTCAAATGTTTGGGCGACAGAGGTTTCAAATGTTTGGGCGACAGAGGTATCAAATGTTTGGGCGACAGAGGTTTCAAATGTTTGGACGACAGAGGTTTCAAATGTTAAGCATACTCAATAACACCCGCAAAGCTGAAAACACATTGTGTATTTATTGTAAGTTTCTGGAGCACTTTCTCTCTATATGCGTTTTCACAGTTGTGGTGCCGCCTCCGTGGTCTTGTGGTAGAGCGTCCGCCCGGAGAGCGGAAGGTCCAGGGTTCAATCCCCGGCCGCGTCATACCAAAAGACGTTAAAAGATGGTACTTGTTGTTACCCTGTCTGGCGCTCGACATTAAGGGGCTAAAACAAGGACTGGTCGGCTCGGAGTCAGTATACTGTGTCTGAGTGGGGTATTCATGTTAAACTGCGGCATGGTATCTCAGTGAGCTAGCACTATAAATCGGCATCAGTCCGGTCAAGTACAAGCAGCCACAGACACACACGTGCATGCACGTCGCTATATAAGTGCAATAAACTTGGACGCGACGTTAAACCCAATTTCACCTCACCTCACCTCACAGTTGTGGTATGCTCCATCACCAAACACAGTTCCGTCCGCACAAGACGTTATTTCAAAATGTTTCGGTTGTTTCGGTTGAAATTCGGTAGATGCTCATTGCATTGTGTTCACACTGTGATAAGTTGTCAGGAATGTAGTACTTTTTAATGTGAGCAGTTTTGAGGAAGTGACTATATTTAAATGCTGGCGTGATATGTAAACTTCCGAAATAACATGGACTGATGTGGAATATTCTGTAATGCTCTAGTGCCGTTAGACTGGTGAGAGCACTGTGTAGAAATTTCCCCTATTTAAGAGACAATGGCACACCTCTCGCACATGTCATCGCGTCAAGATCAGATTTCTTGTAAGGTTCACTCATCATCCCTGATTGCCAAGGCCTTTCTCAGAAGCTTGTAACACGTAACAATGTTTAGGCAACAGTGAGTGAGTTCTACATGTACGTACCTGGTCTCATCATTGCTCTGAAGTACGAAAGGATCTGCGTGGGGTTGAGGGGGGCGCTACCACCCATCAGCATGTCCTGCCATATTTGGTCGTAGTTCTGAGCGAAGGATGGGCTAAAACAACATCTTATTTGTATTAATCATTAGAAAATAATGGAAGTATTATCACGTAATGGAGTGCCAAATGCTCAGGTAACAGTCTACAACCACGTCAGTGTTTCTGTTTTAGTGTTGTTACAGGAACAATTCAGGACAATTCCGCATGTAAGTACAAATTCTGAAAGGGGCTCTTTTGAAGTGCTAATGAAATGTATGTGGCGTTTGCTAGGGGAAATGAGACTTTGTCAGATGTACTGTAGATGGTGTTAATCAAAAGCAGCTGGTCAGAATTGTGATACGTTGAGGCTAATGATTTTGTTGGAATATCTTAAGCAATGTGTGGTTATTGAGATTGGGACATAGCTGGGTGAACGTAAGGCAGGTCAGTTACTAGGCTGTAACCTCGGTCACTCATTGAAGTAACGCAGGCAGTATGGTTCCTCTCCCATGAATGGTCAGGATCATTTCAAGATTCGAAGTCAAGCAAGACGAGTAGTTCATTGCCGAAGACATCAGATACCCCAGCTGGTAGGAAACATCATTCCAGTTTGAGGTGAGGTATTGGATGTAGATATTGTCACAAGCGAGTGCCACAAGAGCGCTGTGTACGCCAGCACATAAATCAGACACAAACCTCACCTCCTGCTTTTGCTGGATACAGGTAGTGTATTTTCTTGTTGGCGAGTGCCCTCAATGGTGGTGATACACACTGTTGCATATACTAGTATATAACAGTTCACGTCCAGTAGGTGGAATTTCCGGATAAACGGAGATTTATGGTATTTTGAATATTGTCCGCCCGTTTCGTACATGCAAAGGTTTCTTTTCTTATATTGCTCTTCAAGCATCGGTTAAAATCATTTTAGTCAATTTGTGGTACTGGTGGTTCTGCCCCAAGACGCCCAAAGGCGATTTGCAGGAAGATGAATAAAGTGTTAAAAGAGTGGGCTTACCTGACACACAGCACAATTCCCAGGAGCAGGACAGGAGACATGGTTCCTGGAAATAGTGGAACGTATTTCTACATAAAATCACCCACATGCAATGGCTTTCTCGGGATATGTCCAATACAAAATAGTAGTTACACTCAAGACGATGTGTCCATGTCAGTGTACGACCAATACAAAATAGAGGTAACACTCTAGATGATGTGTCTATGTCGGTGTACGGCCAATACAAAATAGCAGTAACACTCTAGGTGACGTATCTATGTCGGTGTACGGCCAATACAAAATAGCAGTAACACTCTAGTTGGTGTGTCTAGTTTGGTGTACGACCCATACAAAATAACGGTTACACTCTAGATGATGTGTCTATGTCAGTGTACAGCCAATACAAAATAGCAGTAACACTCTAGGTGATGTGTCTATGTCGGTGTACAGCCAATACAAAATAGCAGTTACACTCTAGGTGATGTGTCTATGTCAGTGTACAGCCAATACAAAATAGCAGTTACACTCTAGGTGATGTGTTTATGTCGGTGTACGACCCATACAAAATAGCAGTTACACTCTAGATGATGTGTCTATGTTGGTGTACAACCAATCCAAAATAGAGGTAACACTCTAGATGATGTGTCTATGTCGGTGTACGGCCAATACAAAATAGCAGTTACACTCTAGATGATGTGTCTATGTCGGTGTACGGCCAATACAAGATAGCAGTAACACTCTAGGTGATGTGTCTATGTCGGTGTACGACCAATACAAAAAAGCAGTTACACTCTAGGTGATGTGTTTATGTCGGTGTACGACCCATACAAAATAGCAGTTACACTCTAGATGATGTGTCTATGTTGGTGTACGGCCAATCCAAAATAGAGGTAACACTCTAGATGATGTGTCTATGTCGGTGTACGACCAATACAAGATAGCAGTAACACTCTAGATGATGTGTCTATGTCGGTGTACGACCAATACAAAATAGCAGTTACACTCTAGATGATGTGTCTATGTTGGTGTACGACCAATACAAAATAGGGGTAACACTCTAGGTGATGTGTCTATGTCGGTGTACGACCAATACAAAATAGCAGTAACACTCTAGGTGATGTGTCTATGTTGGTGTACGACCAATACAAAATAGAGGTAACACTCTAGGTGATGTGTCTATGTTGGTGTACGACCCATACAAAATAGCAGTTACACTCTAGGTGATGTGTCTATGTCGGTGTACGACCAATACAAAATAGAGGTAACACTCTAGGTGATGTGTCTATGTCGGTGTACGACCAATACAAAATAGCAGTAACACTCTAGGTGAAGTGTCTATGTCGGTGTACGACCAATACAAAATAGCAGTTACACTGAAGACGATGTGTCTATGTCGGTGTACGACCAATACAAAATTTGAGGTAACACTCTAGGTGATGTGTCTATGTCGGTGTAGGACCAATACAAAATAGCAGTTACACTCTAGGTGATGTGTCTATGTCGGTGAACGGCCAATACAAAATAGCAGTTACACTCTAGGTGATGTGTCAATGTCGGTGTACGACCAATACAAGATAGCAGTAACACTCTATTTGATGTGTCTATGTCGGTGTACAGCCAATACAAAATAGCAGTAACACTCTAGGTGATGTGTCTATGTCGGTGTACAGCCAATACAAAATAGCAGTAACACTCTAGGTGATGTGTCTATGTCGGTGTACGGCCAATACGAAATTGCAGTTACACTCTAGGTGATGTGTCTATGTCGGTGTAGGACCAATACAAAATAGCAGTTACACTCTAGGTGATGTGTCTATGTCGGTGTAGGACCAATACAAAATAGCAGTTACACTCTAGGTGATGTGTCTATGTCGGTGTGCGACCAATACAAAATAGCAGTAACACTCTAGGTGATGTGTCTATGTCGGTGTACGACCAATACGAAAAAGCAGTTACACTCTAGGTGATGTGTTTATGTCGGTGTACGACCCATACAAAATAGCAGTTACACTCTAGATGATGTGTCTATGTTGGTGTACGACCAATACAAAATAGAGGTAACACTCTAGATGATGTGTCTATGTCGGTGTACGGCCAATACAAGATAGCAGTAACACTCTAGATGATGTGTCTATGTCGGTGTACGACCAATACAAAATAGCAGTAACACTCTAGGTGATGTGTCTATGTCGGTGTACGACCCATACAAAATAGCAGTTACACTCTAGATGATGTGTCTATGTCGGTGCACGACCAATACAAAAAAGCAGTTACACTCTAGGTGATGTGTCTATGTCGGTGTACGACCAATACAAAATAGCAGTAACACTCTAGATGATGTGTCTATGTCGGTGTACGACCCATACAAAATAGCAGTTACACTCTAGGTGATGTGTCTATGTCGGTGTGCGGCCAATACAAAATAGCAGTTACACTCTAGATGATGTGTCTATGTTGGTGTACGACCCATACAAAATAGAGGTAACACTCTAGATGATGTGTCTATGTCGGTGTACGACCAATACAATATAACAGCTTCATCGTCGTGTATTTGAGACTATGTACGACCATTGACCACAGCGACAGAGCTGGAATATTGCTGACTGTGGCCAATATTAATCATTAACTCAAACACACATTGCTGCCTTTTTGTCATCCATTCGACAAAGATCATTTTCAGACGCCCTGACCACTGGAAACAATTAATTTTTAAGTGAAGAACAAAGGCGGAGCCCGTCCATATATGTTTTGCATTTTGTCACTAAAGATTGCATTTTTTTAACGCAAGCAGCACATATGTGCCCTGAAGCCATACTACTTTACAACAAACGAAACAAATACAGGTTGATAGCCAAAGGAATAATACTGTTCACACTTACGCTCTTGCACGTCCTGTCAGAAACACGATGTTGATTGCAGAATTGCCGTGTATTTAATACATTTTGTGTGCTAATTTAAATACTTAGTTAAGATAACCTGTTGGCTCCGTTAACATGTTTAGCTTTATAAATAGATCGCAACACACGTTTCTGTCATTAATTTTGCAACAAAATGAAAGGGACATATTTTTACGACTGCACCTGATTGGACACATTACCCGCCTTGCATAGTCACTTGACACAGCACATGGTGCGCTTGACTGCAACAGTTTGAGCTCGACTTTTCTAAAAGATATTTCTGCTCAAAAATGGCTTTTCGACAAACATTGATTTTGAATCATAGAGCTCTTCGGGGATCAACAATATCATACGTTGTGCACATGTGTACTCTGAATATTGTTTTGTCAATGAAGACAACGATGATTCTGAAGTTATGAATGATTCATTGTTAGCTACATTTATTACATGCAGATGTAAAGTATCTAGAAGTGACTGTCATTTTATTATATTCTAAAAGGATTTGTTATTTTGGAACAAATAAAAGCGACAAAACCTTTTCCATATTCTATGTTTCCATATTTTAACACGCATTTACAGCATGTCTGGATACTTGATCAGTGACAACAGTGGGCACCTATTCAATATGAAGATAGTACACGGAAAATGGCAGAGCTCAAGGTCATGAGATCTCAATGTCACATGTGTCCAGCACTGTGTCATCCGTTACTCAAATCGTTTTCAAAATAATGATATATATATTTGGCCCAATTTTGATTGTTACATATTCCTATTCATTATATCCTCATTCTGTTGTGACAAATACCCTGGATCCACGTCTATAAAGTCTTTCCAAATTCTTTTTCGAGAGACATTCTATGGAACGTTACTTTGAGGAGATATGAAGAGGGTGACTCATTTTCCAGAGGCATGGTATCGAATGGGTCTCGGGTATTTATCATAATAGAAAGGAGATATAACACTTTGATGATAAAGGATGAGGCAATTTGGAACTGACAAATACTTACGTTATACTGACACAGTCTCAAGCAGCTAAGTTACCATAACTACTAATATATACTCAACCTCAAAAGAAACGCAAGTTGTACATAAAATGCGGATAACATTAAGACCATAAAATATATGTAAATAATATTAAAAATTGATAACAGAGAAAGCATTTCATAACGAATTGGCTTTGATTGTTTGATGACAACAGTCCGTGGTTATTGAAAAATCCAGGGTACAGGGTACCCCAAAACAGAAAAATTACAAGTGTCAGTCGTCAATAGTTAGAGTGGCCTCCGTTAGCTGCGATACAGGCCGCACAGCCCCGACTCATTGATTCAAGTATTTGAGAGAGGGTTGAGGAATTCTGTTCCATTCCTGTACCAAAAAGCCTTCCAGTTCCTGAAGTGTATGTGGCTGCCTTGCCTGAAGCCTGAAGACGTCTTCCAATATCGTCCTAGACATGCTCATTTGGCGCCAAGTCGGCTAGGGCATCACTTAAATGTTATTCATCCTGAGGAAGTCCATAGAGTCCCACACCAAGATGCTTCCTCCTCCCCACCGGTCGGCCTGTTACATACAGCAGTTAGCGTAACGCTCATTACGTCGTCTCCACACTCTGATGAGGCCTTCGGCGTGAGAAAGGTTGAACCTTATGAGAAGACAACTTGTTGCCACAGTTGGCGTCGCCAACGCAGGCGCTGTTTGGACCACTGCAGACGTTGTTGGCGGTGACGTTGAGTCAGTATGATCAGTTGCAGCTGTCTGTTTCGCTAATCGCTGTCGGTCACGCAGATGTGTCACTCGGGTGTAACGGTCCTGCGCTGGAGTAGTGACCCTCGGCTGTCCAGAACGAGGCCGGTCTTGGACACTGCCTGTCTGTTGAGTCCATGCGACCAGTCTGGTGATTGTAGACGCATAACATCCAATGTGACTCGTCACTGCAGTTGACGTTGATCCGCTCTGTAGATCCCAATGGCAACACCTCTATGGAGTTCAGTTAAGCCGAGTGTGAAATGCTCAGTGCTTTTTGTTTTTGTTTTATATGGTGGCTTATAAAGGATTGTCAAGGGGGAAAATGCATGCATTTGTGTATGTGACTTGCGCTGCACGTGCAAAAAGAGGTCAAACGAGACGAAACGACTGCGTTCTTGCGACGTGTTCAAAATAAATGATGTAAATAGTGAACAGTGTTTCTTCAATGCGTCTCTTTACGTTTGTATGCATTTCTTTTCAAAATTACTATGTTGTGCATAAACAAACAAAAATTGATTTGCGTTTCTTTTGCAGGGGAGCACATATTCCTATAACCTTGAAATGAGACATTTTTTCCATATATCAAGTTCCGATGAGTACATGAGTGCAAAGTTTTAGAAACTCAAGAGAAACAAAATAAGAAAGCTTTATAAGAGATGTGTGACATAACACACCCTTCCCATCGGCGGGGGCAGGGGTTGCCCAGTCGTCTAAGGCGCCGCAATTCGCTGTGCAGAGTTGCGTCCCTTGGGTACGAATGAAATCTATGATTGGGGGTTCGAATCCCGGTTCGCCTGATTATGTTTCTAGGATTGTCAGCAATATACCCGTGCTCGTAGGTTTCACCGAAGTGGTAAATGTCTAAGACCTGCATCACTTCGGGCTTTCCTCCCAAATTAAGCTGACACGCCGTGATATAACTGAAATAATGTTAAAAGCGGCGTTATACCCAACTCATTGACTCACTTCCTATCGGCCGCGCTCCTGTGATGTGCACCATCCCTGCCTTTTTTAAGGCTGCAACCCCATTTTGTACTCCCAATGCCGTGTCCTGTTAAGCGTTATTCCTGATGCCGCACACTGGATGTCATGAAATGTTTATCTAGGTCGCAGATGCGAAGATTTCAATGTTGAAATATATTTTTCATCCTTTTTTTTCTTGCAAAGGATGAAAATTAATTAATACTTAGCCTCAAGAGTTTCTTGAATGGATGCCAACACAAATTAAGTTGTATGTCGGATGCCTAGAGAAGAGTGTTGGCACCTTCTTTTTAACAGCCTACTACGCCGAATTCGGGTCTATTCACCACTTCATCAACAGACCCTTCCAATGTTAACAAAAATAACATTTGGTAGTTATCCTTCCTTGACACAAGAAACTGTGATCCACTTTAGGATTAAATGTATAAATTGCTCGATGAGAGCTTGGATTCTCCTATTTCTGCATTTAGAACACAAAGATGGTCTTTTCAACAACGTTTATGTTGATGTATAAAGGTCTCCTTGTATTAATAGTATTATCAGTTCAGCACTGTCGTGTGTATGTATGTACACACGTGTATTGCACCACCTATGGTGACATGGGCCATATCGTTTATCCTGTGGCATCCGTTGCTCAAGTTGATTTCAAAATATAGATAGAAATTATGGTAATTTGCTCTGCAATTGTTTATTTCATACCAAGTCATAAATGATCCACTAGTGTGGGTGTAAATAATGCCTATGCCAAATTCTTGGGTGCTGATAATGTAATCAGGTTCATTCACCACATCATCAATAGACCCTTCCAACATTAAGTAAGGATAAGAATTTACGGATGAACAACTTCTTTATTACAAATAAGAGCGACTTTTCGGTGTAGGTTCTAACACCGTTAGGAAGCAAGTGATATACAGAGTGTGGTTGGCAAGTATATATACAAGAAGGAGGCAATGCTTATACAGTAGAGTAGATATTGTTAGATGTTTCTCATGCATAAACTTGTCCACAATTGCATGGAATGTGGTACACTGCTCCTGATGGTTCTAGTTTTAGCTTGTGGCACGAACAGACATTTTGCTTCAGCAACCCATGCTTGGCGTAAGAGGCGACTAACGGGATCGGGTGGTGAGTCTCGCTGACTTGTTTGATGCATGTCATCGTATCCCAATTTCGTTGATCGATACTCATGATGTCAATCGCTGGATTGTCTGGTCCAGACTCGATTATTTACAGAACGCCGTCATATAGCTGAAATATTGCTGAGTGCGGCGTTAAACAACAAACAGAAACAAACATTATCCATAGTGTTTAGATTCTCTGGATTAAAGTACGTGAAATTAATGTCGCAAAGTTTGTTTGTTTGTTTCAAGTCGCACTGAGCAATGCTCCAGCTCCCTGACGGCGGTCTGTAAAAAATTGAGTCTGTATCGTTTCGACACAATAACTGGATATGCAAGTATATGCCTCAGCCATGAGGACATCAAATCTGTATATTACAATGTAAATTGTGAGTTTACCATTATACTCGAACGTGTGATGTGGTGACATATAAAATCAACGTTTGTTTATTACAACGTATATTGTGAGTTTACCATTATACTCGAACGTGTGATATAGTGACATGGTGGCCTATAAAACCAATGGTTATATATTACAATGTATATTGTGAATTTACAATTATACTCGAACGTGTGACATGTGACCTATAAAATCACCGTTTATATATTAAAAGGTATATTGTGAGTTTCCCATTATACTCGAACGTGCGATATGGTGACATGGTGACCTATAAAACCAAAATATTACAACGTGGTGACATGGTGACTTATAAAATCAACGTTTATATATTACAAGGTATATTGTGAGTTTCCCATTATACTCGAACGTGCGATATGGTGACATGGTGACCTATAAAACCAATGGAGTAGTATAGGTCATCATGGTTCTGGCTCACTTCCACTGGAGTCAGATTTATATACCTATACCACCACTACAGAGGGATTTTTTTATGTCAAAATGATGATGCGATTCAACGATCGTCATAACATTAAACTAAATTGTAACGAAAATATAATCTATTATTTTTACTCATATGCATACCATTATTTTTAACAAAGTGATATTAAACATTTTTACTAAGTTCTTTGTTCATTTTACTAGGAGACCAGACTATAGACTCTTCTTGGTAATTGGAAAGAAACAATTGATGACCGTATTTTGTTGGGATTGCCTAAAAGTCGGGCCAAGAAAAGTCGGGCCGGGCCGGGCCAGCGGGTAATACTAAAAATGGATTGCAGAATAATAAAACGAAACGCGCATATCTAGGCAGATCTCAAATGTCCACAAACGTATAGTTTTGCTCATTTAATT